TGCTCCAAAAGTATACTAGTAACCTTTATTAGTAAAATGGTAGGGGGGAAAAAATACAAATTTACATTTGAAGCTTTTAATGTACACAAAACGTAACCACATCATCGTAAGAGGTAAATGGTTTCCATTCCCATCCCTCTCTTTCTTCAGTTTTAGGGCCTAACTCTTGACTATACATATTATATATGATTCTATAGCATATAGTAATGAAGCAAAACATACATGTATCCGTAATGTTATGTATGTGTGTTTCAGACAGGAATGACATCAGCATTCTGATTCTCTTCGCAGGTAATGATAAGGCCTTCCACATAAGTTGGGAGGAGGCAACGCCACCATTTGCAGCCGGTGGCGACTGATTCTTCAGGAGGAATGATCATCAGAACATTGTCATGTCGCCTCACCATTCCCATCACGCTTACCGTGCTTCCTTCTTTTATATATCTGGTCACAAAATTCAGCAATAGTATCATCAAAATGGCAAGAAGAATACATGATCATGTATATGTGTGTGTGTGAGAGAGAGAAAGACCAACACTTTTTGGTTCTTCGAAGGGTAAAAAGCAACAGAAAGAACCTTCTTTTGTAATAAAGCTACTTACTTTGAGAATCTCTCTTCTCTAAGAAGGATTTATTAAAAGCACCAGAACTATTCTTCCTTTGAACTAAAGCCATTTACTTTAACGTTCTTTCTGATATATGCGAAGGATTAAAAGCACCAAAAGATCCTTCCTTTGAACTAAAGAACAGTGACTTTGGTTCTCACTTACACTAGCAAAAATGTATATGTAGATGTAAAGGGTTTCTTTTGAGGGACTCTCTATACTTAATACTATCAGAGTATAAGAATGTAGATGTGTAGCAGAAAGGAAATTTAAGATGCATGTGTAAATTAAACCATACCCTTCTTTGAGACGCATGGCACGAGCATCATTCGAAATGTTCCGATCCGCCAACCATTGTAGAAAGCTTGGAGATAATTCCTTAGTCTGTGAGGTTACATTAGCTACTGTTGTCGGTATGACAAATGGAGAAACTTTTGATCCATACCCTGCTTTAACAAGTGCGCGTAATCCGGATTGGAAGTCCGAGATGTAAAAATCCGACACATATTTCTGCCAAACAAACCATGATCATCAATTATTCAAATGAAAAAACAAAAAAAAAACACTTGAACGAGATAAGAGAGACACGGCAAATCTAAACCTCGGCATGTTTAGATCCCCATGAAAAGCATCTATGTTTCGAGTTTGCGGATTTTCCACAAAAACCTTTGTACGCATACAATTCTGTATCCACGTAAACACATCTCGGTATCCTCTGGTATGACGACTCTAGCGGAATACTTCCACACGTTACAACCTGCAAACACAAAACGTTTTTAGCTAAGAATTGGTCACTCTAAGATCATATTATACACATTTGAATTATTACCATATCAAGACTACTAATTTATGTTCCATTGGAATTGTCAAAGTCTTTAACTAAATTAGTCATCACACTAAACTAAGCCAATGATCACTAAAAAGAGCAATGAATATGACATTCTAACTAATCAGATGATTAATTAGTTTACGTTACTCATCACATTACCAATTAGCTAAGCTAATACGAAACAAATCACCACAAAAAATTAAAGTCTTTTTACAATAATTAGAAAAGACTCGAAAGAAAATGAAAAAAAAAAAACTTACTCCTGTGACCTTAACGAATTGTCCATCAATGGCGCCTCTAAGCACAGCATTTGGATAATTATTGATGAAACCCAACAATCCTCTTCTTCTCCAAACACAATTCCACACAAAAACCACGACTGCCGGAAATATCGCCGCCGCAATCACCACCATAACCAGTGGCTTCTTCACCGCAACAGATAAAAACACACCAACCAGTAACCCCATTGCAGCTACTATCAACACTGCCCAAATCACAGGCTTTGGTAATCTAAA